CAAAACGGCGATCAATAGACGATCTCTCGATAGACTGCAATTTCATTGTTGATTCTGGTCTCTCTGGTCTCTATATGGTCTCATATAGGCTTGGTTAAAATCAGCCTAGAATTCGAATCGGCTAGCTTTTCGCAGAATTTAAGGACCCTTGAGGGAGAGTTACCGGATCAAATTGGTGGAAAAGGGCGGTTGTTTCGTGGTTACGTGGAACGGTGAGCGGATAGGTAATTGTAGTCGGGTCTATCTATTATTCCCTTTAACTCTGTAATACGTTTTCTTAATCTTATTTTGTTTCTTTTTTTTTTGCTTCGTAGATCCTTATCTTTACTGCCTATATTTTTATTGCCTATTTTAATCGTCTCGTTCACTGGAACTGGAACTGGAAAATTTTCGAATAACGAAACGTGTCGCAATAGCTTGCGCCACTTTTATATATTTCGTGTCTCGGCAATAAATCTATCTATATTGAATTTCAGAGCGAATTTCAGGGATAATTTTTCGCGGAGAGAAAGCGCAGAAGCGGAGAGCAGCGTGTCCTAAAAAAAGTGCCGTCCGTCCACGGGTGAAGGAGACGTCACTTCCTGGCCAGGATCGAAACGTCAGCTGAAACTGTTCCACCCCACGATAGCACGAAGCGCGGTAAAATCGTCTAATAAGTTGGGTAAACATCGAATCATTGTTATTTTTATGTGCAGCGCATGGACCCCCATTGAATCGATGACACGTAGTGGAAGGTACTTGGGGATGAATGTACGGATAATCCATTAGACGCCGTTGTAACCTAAAACCGGGCAAACAAGGGTGATCTTTGGATTAAACGTGGCGGACGGATGGACCGTGGATGAAACGAAACGTGGAAGAAAAATTTGTAATAAAGTACGTAGGTGAACAGGTGAGCAACAATGGGAACTGATAAACGTCAGAAACGGAGGATTTCGATAACCGACAAGACAATTTGCAAAATTTTCTTTCGTATTATGGAAGTTTATGTGAAATATTTTCTGAATAATTATTATTGAAATGTGATAATCCGAAATAAAATGATATTTTTCCTCTTTAACGTGATGTTCCAACGAGGTGGAGTAGGAATATTATTAATTTGATTAGATTTCTACAATCGTTATATATAATTTTTAAGATAGTTTTTTTTCTTCTTCTTTTCCTCAATTATTTATAATCATTTATTTTTTTATATTTATTTCAGCATTGTTTAAGGAATAATTGTTTTCATTTCATTCAAATATTTTAATTAATTCTGATATCATTAGTCATCGATGATTATTATTATAACGATCAAGAATCAAGAAAGAGATTAAATATAAATATACATCATGTGTAGTGCTCAAGAAGAAGTGCTAAAAAGAGAATTATATCTTATCTTTGAGCTCGATTAATACATCGATTTTTATTTGATCTTGCAAATATACTCTTGCATTTTAAATATCGATCAAATATGAAAAATTCATCTCCGAGACGTTTATATTTACGTCTGAATTGATTTACATGCACTGCAAATGCATTCCTTTAGTCTAATCGAAAAAGCAATTAGCCGGAAGTCTTTGCTCTTACTTAATCCCGTGGATAGATGGCGGTAGTATGCATGTATAAACATTAATTAAAAAATATCGAATATTTCATTTTTAACTTAATCGATCGTTATCTGTTTATTGAAACTTAAACGAAGAAGAATTGGAAAATTAAATTATTTATTAAATTATTATAAAGATAAAGAAAAATATACGAGTATCGAAGTATTCGATTATACGAAATTTTTATCTCTCCATTCATTTCATTATCATTTCAATTATTTTTATTGTATGTGAAACATGTGATATTTTTTTATTCATGAGTTATCAATATATTCTATTATATATTATTATTAATAATATAAATTATTATATATTAATTCTTGTCAAAGGATTACAAGTATTTACACAAAAACCATTGTATAAAATGAAATATTTTCATTATTATAATAATTATAAAATAAAATTACTCGGAAAATTTTAATAAATAATTCAAGGAATACGATAGTTGCAAATAATGATACAGGTATATTCAATACGTACGATATACGCGAGTTTCGATCGTTGGATTTGTCACAGAAAAATGAATCCCACCGAACTTACCACGATAGAGCCAGCGTGTAATTTACGTAAGAAATATGAAAAATCAAGAGCAAATACAAATATATCTGACGACGATCAGTTTACGAAGTAAAAATGAAACGAAAGTAAAAAAAAGAACTTGCGATTCATTTCTATTAATTTTCGTATTTGAAGAAGCAATTTTGACAAATACTTGCTGCAAAAGTTCTTATATTTCGTAATATTATATAAACAATAATTTACGATACATAAATTCGTTCTTGAGAAACTTCAGAACTTTATATTTTGCAACGACAATTAAACAATTATTGCTACTTATTACCTTAAGGATAAAGATAATTTGACATAATCCAAAGCAATTTTTTATTCACCTCACGCAATATAAACAACAAAGAAGTTCTCAAAGTTATTATAATTCATAAAATTCAGTTTCTGGAATTTTATTAAAATATGATCCTCGTTTTGTAATTTAAAAGTTCCGAGTACCAGAAAATAAATATTCGACGACAACGACATCTACGAAACAACATTGGATTTTTATTCCAAGTAAGGCAATTCAATGGAACAATCGTATATTTTTAAATAAATTCCTTGGCAGCTCGCGTAATGTAGCAGAAAAAGTAACGAGACATGCTGTTGTTTTGCTATGCATGAAAAGCACAACAGAGATTGTGCATTCGTGATTAATAGCGCCTCTCAAACAACGTGTTAAACCGAAATAAACTATATATTGATATCCTTTTGCCTTTCTTTCAGTGCCCTCTCGCGCAATAATTTATCAACTAATAATATTAGAGAGTTCATTATTGATATAAGACAATCTATTAAGTAACTTATGATTTGTAGAATTTTATAATATTAATATTATGCATTGAAATTAAATTCTATCATATATCAAATATATATTATTACATACAAAATTTTATTAGTTATTAAAATATAAAAATTTTATTAATTATTAAAATATTAGTTATTAAAATATAAAAATGTTTTAGAAACGTTATTTAAGATAATGGAATAAAAAATGTTAAATTAGAGAAAGGATAAGGTTTTTTCTAAGGCAATTTGAGGTTATGTTATTCCTTTTGCGAATCGATGATATTACTATCATCTTATATTAACATGACACATAAAAACGATCGATACACAAGTGGCGTTAATTAGCATCAAATGTAACAAGACGTATAATTGGCTACAAATGTTCGCTTCGTCTCGATGTCATTTACCAATCAACATAATGATCCCGTAACGAAGTCGTTTGTTTCCTTGAAGGGAAACGAAGCCACAGAAAGGAAATAAATCTGGCGGGGAAAAGATACAAATAAATGACCGTGAAATTGCATGATTATCCAAAATTACCCCAGTACCTTTCGCGTTACTATGAAAATATTTGATGACAACTTTCCTAACCTAACCTATTCACTGGATATTTAGTTATTTCTCCAATAGTGTTCATAAAAACACGTGAAACCAATCAACGTTGAAGAATTTTAGTTCCTTAAATATTTATAACTTAAGTACAATGAATTTTAACAAATTTGTTATGTATATTCGTTCCATTTTTTTTTCTTAGTATTTATTTATAGATTTGCATTTTTCATACCAATAATTACATGAAAATGACCAAGTTAATTATAGATTTCGTGTCGAGACATCGTATGTACGTATCTTTGAATATGTATCTCGAATACTGAATATTAAAATACAATATTATTAAAATAATTGCTTTATATTTCGTTATTTTATTGAATGTAAGAAATAATTTCTAGAAAAAAAATTAATAACAAAATATTGAAATATTTTCCAAAAATATATTTAATTTTAAATTTTACAAATATCAAATATCAAATAATACAATAAAAATGATTTAAAATTTTCATACAATACTATATTCTCTGCGGTATCTTTGTATTATCTCGGTATATTATTCAAACACGATATTAATAATTACTTTTTGCGTTTATCCAAATGTATAAAAAATTTTTAAAATATTTTATATAAAATAAATTTATATAAAAAAAATCTCGTTTCAGATCCGTGAAAATTTCATAAATTTCGTAGAATAATTTTTATTTTATTCCATTAACCTGAAACATTACAACGAGAATAATATAATTGAGGACTAGGTACATTATTAGAGAACCTTGTAACAGATTATGCACTTTTTTAGCTTTAAAATATCGATTCAGATAACATTCTTTGTAAAAGTGAGTCATAGCAACGGTATTGCTTCAAAGTAAGGATCATGATCACGTACTCTAGATTAGGATATCTGAATATTACAACGGAGTGATTAGGGGCTAGTGATATAACCGATAGTTGTTACATTAATGGAACGAATCTTAAAAAAAGAAAGAAAAAATGGTAATAATCCTATCTTCGTTTACGAGTGCATCCTAATCAAATGCAAAAAGAAAATGTCGATAGTACAAACCGGCACCGAGATAATAACAACGACAGGAAGTAAATTATGACATTATGGTTATAAATATGTAAAGAGTAAGCGGTCTAGATTACAATATTTCTCCATTTTAGAAAAAAGAAAAAAAAAAACCTGTATAATTACAGCCAAAAAAAAATTATACTTAACAACATAAAATATATAACATTCGTTTATTTTTATAAGAAATTGTCCAAACCTAACCTAATCCTTCTTCTCCTTTCGTCGATATTTCTTTAATCCAATTTTAATACAATTTTAATACAATTTGATTTTTTGGAATTTTCCAAAGAAAATGTTCCAAAGAAATTTCATTTAAAATAATAATTATTTAAAATATTTAATAATATTTAAACAAAATAATATTAATCTGTCGAATAAAAATACTTTCGTATATTTTTAAGAATTAAAAATTCTTGAGAATTGATCTCGGGAGTATTTTTCCAACCAGGCAGAATGCGAAACGTGATATTTTGGGCTAGATCATCGCCAAGTCGATGACGAAATGGAATTCATTACGCATAATATGTGACGGAGAAGATACAGCTCCATTACGTTCTTCGCGGAAACACGTGTACGTGTAACAACCCCTTATAGTTACTTTACATAGACACTCCATAGTAGCGAGTTACTGTACGCGAAGAACGCACTATTTCCATCCAACGTGTGCTCCACACGACATACGCATATTTCTATTTATACACCTCGTACACCGGAACTCTGCTTTCCAGACGCGTGTGTTTTGGCTAACTTGTGAGTCACTGTCGTAGGGAAAAGGAAATCGATTATCACAAATTGAATAAGTCGTCTCCTTAACCTTCACAAATCCAACAAACAATATAAAAAAAAATAAAAATATTCTATTCTCGCTGGAAAATAATATCAAACATCGTTATATCATCTCAGAGTTGATTAATCCACGTATAAGGTTAATGTACTTTATTACGCGTTGCATAACACTTGATCCGTTGACTAATCGTACACTTGGCTAGAGCTCTCTTATTATCAACAACTAGGTTGAAGAAACTGGGTGAATGAATATTTTCGCCGGCAAGAGAACACGCGGGATGATCGAAATTGAAATTTTTTTATTAAAAAAAAAAAAAAAAAAGGGGGAATGGAAAATTTAAAAAGGGAAAATAAAGGAAAATGTGAAAAGACATTCACCATTCGCCATTTCGGTTTAATAAAATATGATCGATAATCTGCGCTTATAATTCCGTTTATTTTATTTTCGCCTTTTGTTTGCACCGATTCGAACGTTTGCAACGAATCGAACGAAAGCATAAATTTAGTTTGCTCGATTCATTCATTCGTTTCCAGCATTAAGCAAACCAATCGGACAAAATAAATTGAACGCGCGACCATTAAGGTTATAGGAGTTATCGTAATCGACGGAATAATAATAATTAATTCATGAATGATAGCGTTCAAGCCATCGGTAATAATAACAGTAATTTGCGATTTTCTACGAGTATTCT